ATTACAATAATCGTCGGCGGCGGCGGCGGCGGCGGCGACGGCGTTGCCATTATCATTATCGTTGTCGCCCCGTCGTTGTCGTAATTTACGGACCGGAATTTACTGTATTTACGGTAAGTTATTCGTGAGAGGCGTATAAATTGCGTGATCCCGAAATATTGTTGCGTGCGTCCCTCTTCCTGTCTCTCATTCGCTCGCTCTCGCTCACGCTCTCTCTCTCACTCTCTCTCTCTTTCCGTCTCCGTTTCCGTCTTTGTCGCGCGCGCGGCACTTTGCCGCGGCACGGCGACGGCGTTTTAAACGGTCGATAAATTAGTCGTCGCCGTCGCCGAGCCGCGCGGTTGCAGTGACATTTTGAAACCGGAGTCTGCACACCGCGCGACAAGCGTAACCTTTGCGCGCATAATAAACGCCGGCGGACAAAGCGTTTACCATACGAGCGCATAGGCACGTAGGTAGCCGTAGGTACCCTGTAGCGCGCCCGGTACGTAATACCTGTATTATATAGCCCCGCGGTATTCGCGGTCGGTTTTGTCGTACCGACGACGACGGGCGCTCGGCGATAACGACGCATTCGTAAATATTACGGGGAAAAACGGGACAGTGTAGTACCGCGCGGGTAATTAGTTAAAATATATTACGGCCTTATTTGGTTTTCCGTGCGCGACTTTTCAACCGGCAATAATTGTAATGATTCGCTTCGACCTTTAATGACAGCAAAGTTTATAAAAGCAAATTTCACTAGAGAGGTACTTAAGAGAGGTCAATTCTCGATTTCCCCAAGAGTTTTCCCAGAAAATGTTAAAATCCCGGATAGATCGTAGGAAAACTGGGAGAATCGGTGTAACGTTAAATACGTTTTATTAAAGAAAATGTATAAAGCACATTTAATTATTCAAAATGACATATGGATTGTTGACAAAGCGTCACTATCAACTGAACTCCACTCAGAATAGTTTATCGTTGCTTACAGATATATACATTAAATCCCCGTCTATATCCTATCTTCCCAATTTCCCACTTACACCGTTGTCTGCACCCGTCCCCATTATCTTAGCTTTTTTCTTCCCCCGTAGTTGAATAATATTATCGTAGAGACACGAAATACCGGCTAATATTACCCTTTTCTAGATGCGGTCGAATTAACAAAACATTCCGGAGATTTTAGTGTTATTTATTATTAACATTTACCGTGATGGCATGTTTCGGTAATGACGGTAAACGCTTTCACTCAGTATCCTAAAATATGCGGAATTCCGTTCGGGTTACACCGGTAAAAATGTGCAAAAATCATCGTTTTTTTTTTTTTAGTTAAAAATACGAATTTTTCGCCCCATAACGATAATATACTTTATTCGGACAAATTGATCCGCGAACGATTCGGATACCGCACGAAACGTCCAATATCAATGTTTACTTTTCAAAAAAAAAAAAAAAAAAAAATCAACTAACTTTAAATCGTGTTTTACACAAATATTACGTTCGGCACGTCCGGAAGAAACGAATACATTTACTATGTAGTATTTATTTGTCTTCCTTTTTTTTTCCCGTAATATTATTTAATTAATACAATACGTGTAATACGGCGCGCGGTGCGCATAATGTGACGAACAATGGACTCGAAAATCTATTATCCCGCGCTCGCGTTACAGTTCCGTTTGTTTACCTTTGCACGCATGCATATCCGTGTTGTAAAACAATAATTAATAACGACTATCGCGCGCGCGGCGAAAATATTATACGCGATTTTGATTGTCTGAACACAATAACGACTTGTTGTCTCGGAACCGCCCCGTCGCCGTCGCGGTAATAACACGTAATTCTCGTTCTTCGGCGTCCATGTGCACACACGCTGTACGCGCGCCGTCGTCGTTTCCCGCGTTTTCCGTTGAATTCTTAAATACGCGCTAATTCGGATACGTTACTATTGTTACAGGCCGTTTCGTTCGCACTCGGGTTTCACGGTAGTTTTCGTCCGAAAGACAATTAAAAATGTACGATATTATGTCGCCGTTGACGTTTCGCGAACACCGGCGGTTGACAAGAAAAACGAAAACCGTTTTTGATTCAAACGTCCACTGTTATTTCCAATGTGATTTTATCATAATCCTTTTCAGAACGAAATTTTAATGTCCAAACAAAACCATTATCTCTTTATCCACAAGTAACAGGCAACGTTTATTTTCACGACGAACGGGGACTGCACGCCCGTACCTTCACGCTTCTGAACATATCAGTATTTTTTTTTTAATTCGGGTTTTTTAAAGGGTTCGAAACGCGTCGCAATCCCGTGCGACGCCGCACAATTCTCGGTTCAACGTGCGGGGCAGGTGCGCCGCAATTTCCTCCGTTAGCTCCGTATCGGTATCGCGCTATTGATTTTCGTTTAATTGTTTAAACCAACACGTGTTCGGTATCCGGTTGAATATCTATAACGACATGGAAATCTACCTGACAATAAACGCATCTATAATGATTATTTCACATTACTGTACTGTTCATTGACCACCCGATCGTGACACCCGATGGTCCACCGCAACAAAAACTATGAACAAAATCACGAAATAATCCATTTTGCATTCGTATTTAATAGCGTGTAGTTTTAACGGGAATTAATTTCGGTCATTTCGCAACGGAATGGTTTTGAAAATGGCGATTTTTATAAATAATCAACCTAATACGACACCTTTTAAGTATTTTCATTGTTGTTATTATTGAATCTTTTTAAAGGTATTTTAGCCGATTTCGGGCCGTTTCATTTAGAGTTCTAAACGTTTTAAAATTCACTCGAATCCAGTATTAAATCTATGATATTTATTTCCCGGTTCAATACACTTTACTCTACTACGTTAATCCATATTATTATAATAATAAATTTGTATTTACGAAACGCAATTATTAAAATTTAAAATATCCGTATAACGTGCACCTACGGAGTTGTTTTAAATTATTGCGGAACACACTCCGCGATCCCGACTATTTATAGCCGTCTTTCAGAAATAATATTAATTTATTATAGCCGCGTGGCTTATAAAACTATCTAGGTTAGGTCAGGCTTATTATACGGCCGGTAGTCTGGTATTACCTATGTATACCTATACAGTATTCTAAAACCTCTCAACTTTATGGTACCTATACTCCTAATAACTAACCGTATTTACTACTCGTACGTAGCTTATAATATATCATATAGTTTTTTTTATTATTTTATCGAATCCAATTTTTTTTTTTCTAATAATAATATAACAGTAATGACGTTTATACGATTTATTTCCATCCGTTTTCCACAATATTGTCTTCGTTAAACGTATATAATATAAAATATATCTGTCACGTTTTAATTTAATATTCGAATTCACCGCGCTCAGTATTCTGTCGTATCGCCATTAACTTTATCCATCACGAGTGTATATCTACCGATAAATTCTCGAGTAAAAATAATTTTCAAATTATCGCGAGAATGTCGATTCGATGTTCAAACTCTTCGACCATATTTTAATATCACGCAGTATTGCAGTTTTCACTGTCGATTTACAAAAAAAAAAAAAATGATTTTATTTTCATTAATATTATAATTTATCGTTACATTGAATATTCTATCCTCGGTCAGAATTGTTTGTTTGTATTCGCGTGACGTATATTATTTTCAGACAAGGGCAACGGGCGTTGACGAGCTAAGAGTCAAATTGATTTTAGATTTTTTTTTACCTTCGATTTAATATTGTATTTGATTTTTTTACATTAACTTATAAATACATATAGAGTTAGTTTTGAATATTATACCGCCGTGTTAAGTTGATTTCAATTTATTTTTATTTGAACCCGATTTCAATCCATACTCGACGCTATTTGAATAGGTACCACGTATGGTTATTTTTTATAGCACGATTGATAATAATGTGCGTATAGAGTTACGAGTTCAAAAGAAGTTCCGGAACGATTTGATATTTCCGGAATAAACACGTGCGTTAATCACGCGATCATCCTTCTTTAAAAATGCTGGATTCAAGTTGAATGATTCACTGTATTATGACAATAGCAATTTTACAAAAACCAACGGAAAATTAACTTAACTTAATAATAGTTTACACCTGAGTCACGTTTAATTTTCGAATCGACTTTTAACTTAACTTTAATTTAGCAGGTGGATGCAATTAATAAATTGATAAACCATGACTTTTAACGCGTCAAGTCGGTATAATTTTTTTTTTTTCAACGAATCTAACTAATCACTGATTTAGTTTAGATTAAATCGGGTAGATCAATGTATTATTAGTATTATATTGTTATTGCTTAACTTAATCACAGTCTATTCAGTTGTCGGGCGTAACTTTTTAATATCTTTTCAACTACGCTGTAAATTAATCGCATCCAATAATTTGCGCGCTATGTTTGTCGTTCGCGGTGTAGATTCAATAACGAAGCGTTCGGTTTTTAATTACGCGCCTATACTGTATTTCGGTTCCCTCAATCGAAAATGTTGTTTATACATATACGTTTTCGATTCGTTCGAATACCCGCCGCCGTCGACTTGGCGTAATGTTAAAGAACGATACGAAAAAAAAAAAAAAAAAAAATTAAAAAAACTACCTATATAATAGGTATATTACATCACTGCGTGTTGTTATCTCTCCGCTGCAGACGATATTATTACCTATACGCGACTAAACGTATACACACGGGGGAGAGTGTATACGCCGAGACAGAAGGGAACAACAAAACAGATCAAAGACGTTTGCGTCATAATAATGTACAGACCACGCGCATTATCGGCGATGAGTACCGACGTTCAGATATTCAGTAAACAATGGCACTTGTACGGACGCTTTGCGTTTTCGCGGTTGTATAAACGGCGAGTATTTTCGGCCGGCGTTGTCCTTGTGTCGTTTTCAAAAATCAAAAGTTTTTCCTCGCGACCGCGCCGGTGTTTAAAGTTCAAAACACACGGATTTCATCGTTGAAATTTTGAAACTATTCACCCGACGCGCATAACGTTATTGGTACACCGCGTACGGGACGGTTTTTACAACTACTCGTGCGGCGAATTCCGGTTTTGGCGCCGTCCCGTGAACCTTTCGGGGTTCCGTCTACATCGCGTGACGCGTACCGCATACCGTGTCTAAAATCGTAGACCCGAAACACTGCAAAATAATACGATTTTTTTTCCGGAGATTTTCGGTTATCGAGTGGGCACGAACGCGCGCGTTACACTATCATAAATAAACGCGGCACTCGACACGGCGTTCGACTTTGTTCCGCGCCAATGTGAACGACGAACGTAACTGGAACTGAACGAACCGTTGTAATGAATCCGATGTTGAGTTTATACTCGGACGCGTCGTACAATGTAACGCGCGTTCCGAGCCGAAATTTCTAATGTTTGTTTAAGGTACGTAAAAAAAAAAAAGAAAAGTGACGGTGATAAATGATATTTTTAAACGAGCTATCACCGCGCCGACTGCGAACGCTGAAATTGTACTCGGCGAGTTTACAATAAAATATTACGATTTACATAATAACATTTCGAATATCGTTATGACCGTGACATTTTTATGCGTCGTTATTGTTATTTTTTTTTTTCCACAACCTATAAACTCAATACCGTCGTAGGCGTTTATCGAGAATAATAACGGTAGTTATTGCTCCCCCGGAGAAGTCTGCGCTTCGCCCCGTAACACCGTACGGCACGAAACGGCGTGGTCGACGCTGCAGCGACGGAGGCGTGTAACGGCGGTCCCGCGGCCGTCGCGAATGGACGAAAAGCGCGGCGCGCAAAACGACGTCGTTGTGAACCGGTCGTACGCGTGCGCGTGCGCGTTTTCGCGCGGCAACACCCGAGGCACCCCGCCGCGGTACCGCCCGTAACATCGCGCGGGTAACGCGACAAGCGCGCGTTTCGGAGCCGCGGCGTCGGTCCGAGCGACGCACGCCGAGCCGTTACGACAATACGCGGCGCGAGGGCTGCCCCCCCCCCCGAGAGGCGGTTGACCGACCGTCACGCGACGCGGTCGCCGGACGGTTTTTCGCAAGCGGCGCGCGGCGTCGAGTTTAAAAGTGCGCCCCCGGTCGTTTCCCCCCACCCCTCCCCCCCGGTGAATAACGCGCGCTCGTCCAATCTCGTTTATACGCGGGACGGAACGAGAGGTGGGGGGGGGGGTGGGATGGGGCGACGTCGCCGCGGCAAACGCAATGGTGTCGAGCGTGCAAATCGAAACGCGCGTACGCAGGTCATATACGTGTGTGCGCAGGGCTTGCACAGCGGCGAATCGAATTTACTGAGAACGGCCTTACGGTGTGCGCGCATAACGGACGTCGAACGAAGACGGCGGCGGCGGCGAGCAGACGTTCTTGCGACGCCCACGCGGCGTACGCCCGTCGTTTTGTTCCGCTGTCTGTCGACGATTTGTTTTATAACGAGAAAAAAAAAAAAGAGAAGCCGTCCCAGGACCACGGGGACGGGTGCGGCCGCTGTTGTAGGCGGGCAGTTGAGAACGCGGGAAATTTAACGTGCCAGTACTAATGTGTAATTTAATCTGTAATCCTAACGGTTAACCGTCGCTAACGAAAAAAAAACGATTCTGAACGGAGTCCAATTGTTAGTGTTGCTTTGTCAATATATATATATATGTCATATCGTGGTAAAATAATTGAACGTTTTCTTTAATAATATTTGTTTAATATTGTACACTATTTTCCCGTTATCCCAGTTTCGCCCATTTATCGGGAAAATCAAAAAATTACCATCCCAGTCGGATTTCTTTTCAGAAAAAGTGCTGCTCATGGAAATCGGAGCAATATTTCAGATCGAAAAGTTGTTCGCAGATAAAACAAATAACAATAATAATAATAAACATCATTATAAAACCATAAGCTTCTTCGTTTCATTGAGAATCCAAAATTACGCGTTTTATTTATTATTTAAGTGCACCGCGATTAAATGGTTCTCGCTATATTTTATTTTCATACAACGACTTTATATTATAATCGTATTTAATTGTTTGCATATTATTACTTTTATCAGCAGCTAGGTATCGTCGTAAACTATCGTAATTCGGATCGACGCGCGATTATCGATAACGCGTCGCTCGTATATTATAATTTAGCTCGGGTTACTTATAATTTCGTTTTAACACCACGTAAATCACATTACTGACCGTGTTCATTGGTTCGTAAAATATTACGAATACACACGACGTTTAAATCAATAATTTATACCGATTATCAGCTATACTCCTATCCCGTTTTTCTGTAGGTATTTCACTACTAATAAAAAGTTAAGATGAATCGTCATTTTAAAACGGGAGATTTATTATTCGTTAATTTCCGAGTTTAAAAGCGAAATTTACTCGGACATAAAACTACAATTTAAATAAAAGTACCCACCGTAGGAAGTATTTATAGCCGTAGGTATTTAAAAATTAAACATTTGACTAACGTTAATTTGTATTAGCTGCATTCAAAAAGCGTGGAAACTTTATAATATATATGTATATTTATTTAATTGCAAATAAGGCATCAGCGTTTTTATTTATTTTGCCAACGTACCTGCGTTTGCCGTTTCGCAGTATAGTTACCTATATAGAATATTTGAATCGTATTTTATATTTTTCCCTGTGTGCTTTTTCATTTATCTCGACCCTTAAATGTCTAATTACTGTATTGTATTAAACAATGATGAAAATGGTGGCAAATTGTATTTGTCGACCCGTGACGTATTTTGCTAACGCCTTGAATTTATTTATATTTATGCGATAATATGAAACATATTGGAGATTATAAATCACAAATTGTTTTTAGATATCAACAAGATAATCGTGTCATAAACAAATATTTCATAGGTTAATCAATGTAATTTGTCCACTTAGTGTAATACGGCTGTCATAGATATAATAAAGACTTGGATGGGACATCGTCAACTGAGGCCGCTTTGCATTTGCGGTCCCGAAACGATAACAAGCGATGAGCCCATTTGTTTAAATTATTGTAGAGATATGATTGCTTCGCGGTGTCAAACGACTGCATAATATGTTTATTGTGTGAAAACTAAGGGTAGACTATACAGTCTTTCCCGATAAGCTGATATATCCCAACCATGTTTTATTCCCTGTGGTGACTGCCGACATCTTACGCAGCGTTGTGTTTTATCTAGATACAATTTATCCAGATGGGAATAATTTGATATTTTATCTTATATTTACATCGATAAGAAACAAGTTATCTGAAATAAATGATCGTATCATCTAAATGAATTTATCTAGATAAGTCATTTTCTTCATATGTTTATGTATTTTTATTTTAGTGCTCGCGTGTTTCAATAAATAAACTATGAAGTCACACCTGTCACGAAATCTAAATATGTATCAAATCCGGTACATTTTTACCACCTTCCTTTAGAACTTTGTTTTGTGATTGGTAAATTAATAAATCTATCAATTTTTTTTTTTTTTATCTAAATACAAAGTTCTCGATTTTTCATCTTTATCTGGATAATTGAATCGCTATATGTATATTTTATCTTTATCTATTCTAGAAATTATGTCGTATACTCGTATCTGTGTCCAAATATTTTGAAAATTTATCTTTGTGCGTGCAATACTGCTCTTGTAGGACTCTACCAAACGACTGGGATGTCGTGTCTGTATCGGACAACTATAATGGTTTTAAATTTTTCTGGAATAATAAATATATATATATGTATATGAATGTATACCTATAATTAATAAAATCGTTTAGAATAAACAAAAATAAAATTATAGTTCCTATATACAATGAAATGCGAAGACGGGTGTTTAATTATTAAATTATATACGAAATGAACCATAATACAAAACTAGTTATAAACTTGTTATTCAAGTCATAATCGCACTATTTATTTTATTATTTGACCTACATTGTATATTATTTTGACACATTATACAAAATAAATTGAACTTTTCATTTATTCGGCAGTTGATTCAATATATTTCGACTGCATCACTATATATTTAATCTAAATATTTCACTTAATATTATAGAAATGTTTCAATTTAATCAAAACGGCTCGTAAAAATATATAATACACTATACTTATTTAAAAAAAGAAAATAATAAAAAAAAAGTAATAATAATCACACAGTATAAATATTAATGCGTGACATTATTATTAATAAAAAAATAGTTAGAAATAAAAAAAAAGAAAATTACATTTTACACACTCTTAAAATTATGTTCGTATATGACTTGCAAACGAATTACTCTAATGCGTTTTTAATATTTATTATTCATGTGGAAAATATCGAGTTTTCTCGAACAAAAATTTTAAAAAAAAAACATTGAAACTGTTGTCTCGTGCATGAAATTTGGTGTCGGTTTTTGATATTTAAATAATTTAATGATTGGACCTGATGATTTACCTACATATGTAGGCTATAGAAAATCGTGAAAACTCAACAAAATTATAACACGCTGGCCCGGATTTTCGCGGTAAGTCATTAATCACGACGATATTGAATGGGCTAAAATGTCCATAATGTTTGTAGGACCTACAAGGGCAATACGACTCGGAATCGTTAACGCGTATCCAAATAAGTTCCCGTTTAAATTCGTGGTGTATCCTCTGGTCGAACTGTCCGCAATAAGATAGTCAAATACGCGCATTTCCCTTCTAATTCTCACAGGCTCAAGACTTTCAACATAGAATTATTTAGATTCTATATCAGAAACGTTTACTGTTAAAGTCATATAGACACATGTATCCAGCGGTGGACTGACGGGCATCTTAAATGATTGCGGTACATTGGCGATACGCCGATATAACATCATTCCATTGCTTTGTTAACTGTAAAATACCCGCCGAAGTATGATAAAAGTTAAATAAAATTTTAAACATTTACTACATTATTATTGGCTACAAATTTTATTGCGTTTATTGTTTAAATGTACGCATTAAACGGGAACCAGTTCGGCTCACCATCATAAAGTACCGTTTTTTAACGATTCGGTCTGTGGAGCTATGGTATGAGCTCGGGAACCAATTCGGATACGTCCGTCGTGCGTGTACCGTATTCGGTTTTATCTATAATATGATAAGGAACAATATACGATAATAATAATAATAATAATAATGTATCATTACGATCACCGTCCTCGCGTTCCGTGACCGTGGTAACCGGTAACCACTACGGGGAACCATTTGTTACACTGCAGTACCTACGTATATGACTGCAGTAATAATCGTTTTAATATACGTACCTATATTGCCCATACATTACACGATGGTTATTACAGAAACGTCACTCACGCACCGGTAGCCGGAATTATTTCGACCGATCCAGATACCGATATATTAGGCTTAGGTATAATATATTATTATTATTATTATCGTACGTATTATCAGGTCACAGCAATATTATGTACATTGACGTAGAGGCATAATAATAATAGTAGGTAATAATAATTTGGTATATTCACGGTACATTATATTATAACTAGAGGTAGGATATCGTTATGTTGTAGATGCTATCTCGGTTTAAAAATCGTTTTATGCGCTTCGTATACGAAACGCATGGCTTTGATATAGCTATGTCAATATTATTATTAACCGTGATTTTGATTTTCGTTTTATTCCAATGTAAATTGGAATTATTTATTTTTTTTTTTTCCGTAACAAAATAACAATATTATCATCGTAAATAGATTCAGAATATGCATTTTATTTTCCATTTTAGATTCTGAGCGAAGCGAGGAATATATTGTTTTTACAATGATGTTTATTTTTTTCACGTGAACACTTTTTCTACCGGAAATCTTACTCCGATTAGCAAGTATAGCACCTTTCCTGAAAGGATATTATTTATTTCTTGTTATTAAGTTTTGGTTGTTTTAATATTTTTTAAACAATCATTGTTGTCATGGACATTGTTTAAAAAGCAACATTATAGATCGAGCTATATTATAATAAAATAGATATCGATTTCAATACATTCGTTTACCTATTAATCTTTATATTATATTTCTTTATTCTATACTTAAGCATCATTATCAATTAAACTCCTCTCAGAATCGGTTTTTCATTATCAATGGTTTATCGTTGCTTACAGATATACATTTGATTCGTTTCTGTATCCTACCTTCTCAACCCCCCATCTACAACTATGGCTGCACTCATGAGCGAAGTATGTCCGACTCTTTCTATTTTTTTTTTTTATTTTAGACCAATTTAAATTTGTAAATTCGTGTGTTTTGTTTCAAGTGAATAATTATACATGAATAATAATATTTGTTCGTAAATTTAAATTTCGAAGAACATGTTTGAACTTTCTGAAAATTATTATTAATATAAGCGGTGGATTCTTCTTGTAATTAGTAATACAATATAGTGTTATGTCCAATTAGGTACTATCTAATATATTTATTAACTTTGAATGACAAGCGTTTTTTAATGCAAATCATTAATACGTTTTTGAAAAATATGTTTTAATATTTTTTAGGTCATGGAATTTTTAATTTCGTTTATATTTATTAAAATCATCTCTAACACTATAAGTTTCACGTGTAAGTACTGTATAAAATCGAAGAAATAAAGGACGGTAAAAACTATAGTAGAAATAATATTAGTAGTAATGAAAAATATTCACTTGTGTTCAGACAGTTTAATTTAATTGTATTTACTCTTTAACGATTAGTAATATTTCGAGTGGTTCGATAAAATAAATTATTGTATTGTCAAATTTAATATCAATAAAAAAATACGGTCAACACAGTCGATTTTTGAATACCCACTACAAAACTTTATGAATTAATCACTCTAACTATGCTATACATTTTTTTTTATTAACCAACCGTGTTGTTGTTTTTTATTTGTTTATATTTGTTTACAACACGCTGGAATTTAGAGCTGCACACTTTGCGTTCTATATAGTACACTATTTTCAGGCCCCACTGAGTGAGTGGCTAATATGGGGTTAATATATATATATATATTATTATTAAAAACAAACGGATATACTTCGTACGACGGGTGGGTTAACTGTGGATAACTGTTGTAAGTGAAAAATGGGGAAGGTGGAGGGAAAATTGGATGTATATTTGTACGCAACGATCAAACCATTGCTAGCGAAAAACGAATCTTAGCGAAGATTAGCCACCGGAAAGTGCCACGTTGCATAATCGCATCGTGTGATGAATAATCGGCTTGTTATTGCGTTATTGAAAAGGACAAAATAAGGAATAACGGAACGTGCACAGACACTCCGCGATATACTGGGAACAGTTCACATGCTACCGAATACTTTTTGGGAAAAAAAAAAAAATGTTTAAATATACAGAACGCTAAAAAAGTATTCCGAATATAGCGGTATTACTACCCTTGTCCGTTGATCGGCGTTCGCGAGTTATCCAAAACATACTATTATCCATTGTCAGCGGCGGCGTAATGCGTTTTTAACTTGAATCGCCGATTTAATTAACTCACCCACCCCAACCCAAAAATAACACCTCCCCCCCTCCACTCACTCTGCCACAAACATATTGAACTTTGTTAAATTCCGATGAAATTTATCGAAATTCCGCCGTGTAAAACTCTTTTAACGACTTTTGTTTTGTAAAAACAATGTAATTTTTTAGTATGTTTCCGAACACCCGGGCATCTACGACCCATCCCCCGCCCGTATTTCATTCGCGAACCACGCGGTACAAATAAACCTCACTGAATAAGCCGCCACTGTCCGTTGTTATGGGTATACCCATCGTACGCGGCGTTGTATTATCTGCCCGTTTTCGAAACACGTATATAAAACGAAATCCTTGTCGCACACACGGGACACGGTACGGTACGCGTACACATGGCATAACCGCCGCGGGTCCGTAATATTTCATCGGATATTTTACGCGCACGCCCCGTGGCCCGACGCCGTTATTAAGACGTGTCGGCCCCGCGCAAAGTGTACCCCCACCCCCACCCCCACCCCCCGCGTACGCGTATTATGTACCTAACCGAAAATCCGCGGCCCATTATGTAACGCACGGGGAGAGGATCGTTTTTGGCGTAACGTTTCGCACGATATCAATAATAAATATAATATTTTAACACGTGTGTGTAGGTATATATACGGTGAAATCCGCACCTTCTGTGTACGGGGTATTATCGCGTTGGACGCGAACGAGCGCTTTTGAATGCGCTATTCATAAAAAAAAAAAGGGGAGCAAGGAGGGCGGTGGACAGTAACGCGGTTCATATTTATACGAACGGGGGAAGGGGGTGGGGGGGTTAAAACGGGGGTTAAACGACGGGCACGGGAATATTTTCTAGGAGAGTTACGCGGCGGCGGCATCTCGTCGTCGTGGCGTCGTCGTCGTCGTCGTAAAACCGTCTCGCGGATTAAAGAAGACCATCCGTTCCTCATCGCTCCCCCCCCTCCCATTTATCCGTTTCTTTTCCTCTCTTGCCGCGCTGCAACAACACTTAACCGCCGTGATTTATATTCATTTATCGGAAGCCCCGCCGCGTAAGTGCTCTCCCCTCTCCTCGCGCGAGACGCCGGTTCACTATACAATAATAAATATATATATATATACACCTGCGGTGAATTATTATTATCAACCAATAATAACAACTCTCGCGGATATTTTATCTACTTAATGGAGGAGCATTTTTTCACACCCTTCACCTAACTCCCCTCACCCCATTCCGTCCGTCCGTCCGTCCGTCCGTCCGTCACCGTCGAATCCCTACACTCTGCTCTCGTATCCTTTCCGCTAGTTTCCCCTATATATATATATAAATCATCTCTTATTCTCCACACCTATAATATTATATAAATATCTGATGCCGCCGCCGGTTTCGCGATTATGTTTATTAAACGATATTGCGTCGTCTCGCAACTGGCACGCACTCTAGTATCCTCTCGTTATACACATAGAGAAAGAGAGAGAGATGTGGACTCGGTAAATTTACCCGGTACAATTTGTCTACCGATTAAAAATCGAATGACCTCTCATTTCAATATTGGTGTAACAGATTTCGTTAACACGGTATACGTCACTATTTAACTCGGTAACACTGTCGACGTGACAAATACTAATAGTAAATTAAATTATAATACCACTTAAATCTAACATCTAACGATAAGCACGAACACGGTGTAGACGGGTGGCATTCATTAATTTAATGCTGGGCTTCCGAAATGTTTCCAGTGACGGCCTCGATTTACGTCAGCATTATCGAGAATACAACAGACATTTATTTATTTATTTTTATTTATTTAATACGAGCATGACCCAAAGTATAGTAGGACTCAATAAATAAACATGCAGACAATTCAGCGAGAGTTAAAGATGGGACCAGGTAATAAGGTATTGGTGGTATTTATTAACCAGGTATTAGTGTAAGAACGAAGGGTGGACGTTAGCAAGGCGCATCATGCGGTGTATATGATTATTCGAACAATAATCGGTGGTGTGCAAAGGGATTGCAAAAGTGGTGGTAATGCGGGTCGGACGTGGAAGGATTCGAAAGTTGATGAGGGAAAGGAGCGACGGTGCGTCCACGGAACTGCTGATGAGGTTACGGAAGAACTTCCAGTTAATGTCAACTCTTTTATCGGCCAACGTAGATAGACCAAACACGTGTAGAACTGAAGAGTAGTCACGCAACGGTTGGAAGATATTCAGCACATGGCTGGCATAGGATAGAAAACGTCTTTGGACTCGCTCGATGATTACAGAGCCGGAGGCTGTAATGAGATCCCATAAAATAGAACTATACTCAAGCAGAAGTCGCACTAAGCCACGGTAAGGAGTCATCAGCGGTTAAGCTTAAATTCAAACGATATTCGTTTTACAAACCCTAGAGTCTGACAACTTATTGATAGGATATGATAGTGGAAATTAACGTCAGTGGATAAAAGAACCCCCAGATCTTTTTTACGACTGGTCAATGCAAGATTAGTATTATTACTCGAGTGGGTGTGGCTAATTAAAGTACGAAATCTGGAGAAGGACATGGACTGGCACTTGTTCATATTAAGATTAACACTAATAGCTTCAAACCTAATAGCTAGAATATTTTAGTGCGGATAGAAAATTTCACTAAGGAGGTACTTTAGAGTGGTCATTTTTTGATTTTCTCAGGAGATTTCCTTGCAAATGTGAAAAACCGAGATAAAACATGGGAAAACCGGGAACAACGTAGGGAAATTGGGAAAATCGGTACAACATTAAACAAATATTATTAAAGAAAATATATAATGGATATTACGCAATTGTATAACAATAATATGACATATGTGTTGTTGAAAAAGTAACACTATTAACCGAACTCCGCTCAGAAACGTTTTTCGTTAGCGATGGTCAATTGTTGCGTACAGATATATATTAAATTTCCCCTCTTCCTGCCCAACTTCTCACCTACAACAGTGACCCATCCATTGTGCGAAGTATGTCAGTCTTTTTTTTTTTAATTTTGTTCTCACAATCGATTATCGCTGAAAGTGTTATCCTGGCCGCTCTAATTCAATCATATTTCGCTTTCCGTAAATAAATAACATTATCAGAATTCTCTTAAAATTAATTAATTTTCTCAAACTTCTCTGGACTAAAATAATTCTTGAGATTTTTACCTGGCACGTGTTTACGTAAACTCCAAGGTCGATCTCGTGATAATTAGTTCAATAATACAGGTCACAATGCAGTATTATTCTAATACAGCATATACTTTAATAACAAATAATTAATACATTTTTGGTTTTTTGTTCGAAATATTACTATCAAAATTAACTATACGGTCGTTTAAAAACAACAATGATAATCTATTGAAAGGGATTTTAACATTTTGATAAATGAGAGAAAACGAATTGTTTCTTTTAAAGTTTTAGATTATTATACAACTTAACTCTTTTTAATTATATTATGAAAACATATCTTTAACATAATTGAAAAAGTATTTCATGCAGTTCCGAACAAATGACAAGGACAAAATTGTGTTATATAAATTCACATTCAATTCAAACTTCAAGTTTCATAATTTATTCTGCAGTCAGCAGTGTTACGTTGAAAATAGTTAACACCACGGGTTAAAACCGTTGCAAACGAAAAACAATTCTGCATTGTTTTCAGTATTAAAAGATTGCAATCCCATTTTGTCACTAACTTTTACTGTTTCTCGAGTTTTTGGATTTTCCCGGAAAATCATTAAAATAATATTGATTAGTTACCATTGTATCTAATAGGTATTGCGTATATATCATGTTTAAAATTGTTGTACCTGCAATGTTACACGGAAACCGTTTTTTCTTCAACACTTTTAGCGACCTAAAATAACGTTTTTGAGTGAAAGAACAAATTACTACGCAATAACTCTGATGGAAAAACAATGTTAATATTAGATAAAAAAAAACATTATTTATTTTCGTTTTATCAAAAAATATACAAGTACCTACCTAGTGGTAATTTTGTAAATGTTTAATAAATGTAAACATTGGATAGGTAGGTAGGTAGGTATCAAATATCTCTTTTATATACCAAGTGTCTAAACCACCTGACGTGTGATGATGTACCGACATTTAATATTTTCATTAAATTTAAAAGAGTACGTTACACCCGCCTATATGTTTTATCCAACTAAACACAAATGTATTTTATTAAAAAAAAATTAATAATAATAAAATAGTTTAACGCGTTTTTCCGTTGTCAAAAATGACTGATGTCTGTTAAGTGAAATCCCGAAATTAAACGTTTTCGTTTCCATCCCTTTGGATAAATATTATGGAAATATATTTGAAATTATTTGGATTTCAAGTGAACGATTTTCGTTCAAAAAAATTTGTTTGAAAATGAGTTTTTTATATTGTCGGTAATAACTAGACTCGTGTATATGTATATTATGTGAGTATACCTATGACAACAATAACAAGTAGAAACCGTTTTTTTTATTATTTATTATTATTATTATTTTTTTTTATATACATCCGACGTGGAAGTTGTTTTTTTTAAAAAAAAAAAAATATTTTATTATTTTTGTACACGGACAAAGAGAAGTAACATAGTAATTGAAATTTATATAATACATAAATAGGTGTAATATCAACATTTCACCAATTTAGTCGCGAACTTTTTCGACTATTTGCTGGGATCTGGTTAAATTGCTTTTCTTTTAAATTTTGACTAATTTATATTATTCGGTGCGTTTCCGTGTATTTCTCTGCGGAACAAACAACTCTATATTTGACTTTACGTTAACGCCACACGTTGTAAATTTAAGTGAATCGCGCAGACATTTCTTGGCAATGGGAACACTGTTATAATATAGTCGCGGTGAATTTATTGGCTTATATATTTGAAAACTTTTTCCATTCGGCTGTACAGTAAATTCTGTTTCGTTGACTGGCTGCAAACTGGATACTGTCCAGTTTTATGTTTTGATTCTTTTATACGTATACGTATATATGGGTACAATATAATATAAAAGTGAATTACTTTTAGGTCCTTGATAAAAGTTGGATTTTCGAAAATGTCATACTTTTGTTTGTCAAAGAGTGTATGGAGTGTTTCCAAATAATAATAATAATAATAATAAAAAAACTTTATACATAATACATAGAATAATGTACACTCAGAATCGCAGATTCGGAAAAGAGATTCAAAAATAAACAGCGCTGTAAATATAGGCACTCGTTTTTTGTTGATTTTCCGGTTTTCCGCTATTCCGCCATGTCGAATAAATCGAATTCATTTGAATACCTATCTAAACAACAAAACGCATTAAGCGTATCGCGCTGTATACCTAATATATTTACAGATCGGGTCGATTGAATATTGACGACACCGGATTTAACAGCTTGCATAATACTGTTCTCCTCGTTTCAAATTCAGGATGGGGACGCATACAGCGCTCAAATCGGAAGAAACGTACTACGAGACGTAAAAAAAAAAAAAAAAATAATAAAAAGTAAGCGTCCCGCATGGCAACGATAGCATTCGATCTGATCTTTTACTTCGTGATTCCCCCATACCCCCACTTATACTACTTTTCAAACTTAATTCGTTTAATAAAACAACCGCGATAATACACTTATATAGGCTTTTAGGCTAAATTTTCGATCGTGTATATTTTTTATACGTTTTTATCAATAAAAATGATAATATTATGTGTAAATTTTGATTACAATATTTTTCTGATACGGTACAGACGAAACGCGTAATAGGCATTTTGTACCTTTTTTTTTTCCATCGGTATGGTATGTAAAATAAACAGATATTTTGTGAAGAATTTTTTAAAAAAGTTGCTATTTTTGAGTTACTTATTTAATTTTACAGTAACAAAACAGTTTCGATTGTTAAAAATAATTGTTCAATGTTTTTTGGTGTGATAAGAGAGGCGGCCTGATTGGGTATAAATATTGTTATCAAATCAACCTCCCTCATAGATATATTCTACAAGACTATAACCATAGTCTTTCTATAGTTTAATATACAAATGATAATGTAAATTCAATATAATATTATATTATCTATGGTTTAAAATTGTTATTAGAAAATTATGTGACTTTACGGTCAGATTTGACTTGCGTAACACGTTTTATACCTAAAAATAAACTGATAACAGTGATAACACTGTTTATGTCCCGGTAAGTACGCCGCTGTTATCATATTATACGAATCCGAAAATCGGTTTTAAAACGATTTTAAAATCGAATAATTCATAACTTGTTTCAGCATATAGGAAACTAAAACTTTGCAACACTATACTGTCAATTTGAATTAAAAGTTTCCAATGAAAAAAAAAATTGAACGAAGTCTTTATTATTTTTTTTTTTTTTCAAAATAATAATTAGCAAGGAGACGTTAAGAAAAAAAAAAAAAAAAAAAAAAACAAGAACAAGAACAAGAACAACAAGAGTACTATACATTAAGTACATAACGGAGAGTTCCGTCGTCCCGGGTCCGAAACCAACCCCTCCCCCTCCCCTCCCCCGCCTGCACCACTCTCGTACTGATTTCGACGTTGAAATAATACACACATTAAACAAATACGGCCGGGGACTGCAGCCGCCGCGGACGCGGGACCTCTGAGAGACGGGGCGGCGGCCTCGTCGCGTTTTACCCTAAAACAAATTATTATTTTCCGGTCGCGCGCGAGACTCCGCCAAAACAACGTGGCCGCTCCCGAACGCCGCGATGTTTTTCCGCGCGAAACTTAATTAAGCTTTAATTCTTTCGATAATCAGCTTTGTTTATTTACTTTGGCCGACTGCGCGGTATATATTGTCAGTGTGTACGTATACAGCGGCCGGCCGGTTGTACCGCTGCGGCGCGCACGCAAAATACGGCAGCCGGAGCCGTAATTTATGCGAGACGCGTCCCGCGCCGTTCGCCTCCGGGTCGCGGCCGACGTAGTCGTCGTCAAGCCCATTTACACGGATTGTTACGATTCGTTAGGTTTTTGCATTCGAAATGCGCGCCGCCGCCGCCGCCGCCGCCGCCGCCGCCGCCGCCGACGACGGTAATACCACTGTGTTGATTCTTCGGTATTTTCTCCGGTTTTTCATTTTCGTTTTTTTTTTTTTCTTTTTTTCCTTTATTTTTTTCTACCCCGGAAAAACTTCGCGGTACGTCCGGATTAGCGATTTCGCCGTCGCCTCCGACCCCGCCCCGCGAAAACTTTTCCGTTTTCGCGTAGCCCGGCTCGCAGCTACCGGTTTTGCGGCGCGCGGAAAACGACAAACGAATGTTCCGAAAACGGTCTCGAGGCGAAAAATCAAAAAAAAAAAAAAAAAAATCCGAGCCGCTAATATTGGAGTTTTTAT